ACCACCAACAGCACCCTCCCCCCCCAAGACAAATAAAGCAATAGCACAGGCAGTAAATGCCTTTTTGTTGGTAGTCCTTGCAATCACTTTGTAATCAAATGAAAAACAAAAGAAAATGAAGACACATAGAACTATGAGAAAACTGAATATCTACGGGAAGGATCACATCTACAGAATGCCCTCCACTTTGAGAAAGGCAAGGGACAAGGCGAAATGATTGCAGTCCTTCTTTGTTGGGACGCTTAAATTTCATCCCACTTTTGCCAGGTATATGAATTACTTTAATATGACTTAGATGGCTCCTTTCCTCCTCCTCCCTACCTGGTATATAAATATAGGGATGAAAGGTGATGATAAGAAGAATAGGGGAGGTAGGACCAAGAGGGAAATAAATTGAGAAAGGATGAGTGTACACATTAAGATTATCATTCCATTCCTCTTCCCTCTATCCCTACACACATACCTTAAGTCTTATATAGTGACTGCGCTTGAGAATACCATTAAAGAGAGCACTTTGGGAAGGCAGGTGTTACACATCTATTAAACATTACCCTCTGGCTGACAAGCACTCAGTTTCCTATTATCCCCTTCCAATCTGGTCTATTACTCACTCCAGGAAATGTTTGATGTTCCAAATGTCATATGCTTTTCTCTTCCTAGGTGCTAACAACTCCAACATAATTTGGAATGAACCGAATCTAACAAAAAATTAACTGGCCTTGGGCTTGACATGACGATTTACAAAAAGCACTCAGGGGACACGCGACTATTTAGTCCCTTAGTCAAATAAAAACATGAAATATGCCATAGTTGGGGGGAAAAGAATCTGGAAAAGATACTTTAAAGACTCATGAACAATCTTCTTCTGGCAAAAGTATGACTTAGGGAAGCCAATAGGGACCTTTCTGCTCAAATAACTACAACAGGTTTTTGTGGGTTAAACTTAAAATGCTAGTTATTGCTGGCTCTGAATCCAGCATTGGCTGATGTGTTTTTATGTCACGCTACTAATTTGATTCAACAAACACTTCATCGTCTGTATTCCAGACACTTGTAGGTACTGGGATAGAAATATGTATACAAAACAGACCCTGTTCTCAAATTAATGATGCAATTCAGATGGAAATACATTTGCATACGTGGGATGGTGCAGTTAAAAGAGCACCAGATTTGTAGTAAAAATTCCTGGATCAGATTTCCAGTTCTACTACTTTTACAACCTGTGTGACCCTGGGCAAGTGATTTCACCTCTCCAGGCCTCAGTTTCCCTATCTGTAAAGTGAAGGTATTGGACTTGATGGTCTTTCAGGTTCCTTCCAGCTTTCAAGCTATGGTTTATGAAGAGAGCAAGATAAATGCCATGGAGAGGTCAAAGCAAAAATGTGATTAAAAATTTTGTGAAAGGAAAGATCATCTTCAGTCTTGGCGAGTCCTATAAGACTTGAAGCCATTTTCCCTCTCTCCCCTAGTTGAAAAACTGAGATTATTTTATATCACTTATATGTTGATATTTTAGACAAAAATTCCAAACCCAATTCATGGAGGGTCTGGAAGGTCTGTTGTTTGTTTATTTTAAGCTTGAGTTTTGTGAGTATTTGGCAAAACACCTAATCACATTTGGCTAGGAGAACATGATCTTCCTAGGTAGTAAATATAGCAGATTTTCACCTAGGGTATGAACTCTTCCATCCCAATAATATCCTTTAGGGTCCTAAATATTTAAATTTGAAGTGCTAAAATATACTGCTGAAGGTAAATTTTTACCAGATGGGCTATTATTAATTAAAATGTTATGAGTCTATTATTTGATTGTAAAAAAAGGTTAGAAATAAATAACAAATATTTGCACTCCTTTAACTTAAATGACTCAGCCCTTCTACAGCACCTACAGAAAGAATAATATTTTGCAATCCAAGGGTTAGGCTAACAATAACCATATCATCTAAAGTTACAATCATTTGCTGTTAAGGTAGCTCCAAGAATGAGAGCCTAGTTAACAATTCAAACATGATCTCATGCTTCAGAAGGACTCTAACACAGCTGCAAATTGAAATAAGAAGAAAAGTGATTGTCTTAAAAAAGAAGAAAAGAAAGAAAGAAGGGAGGGAGGAAGGAAGGAAGGAAGGAAGGAAGGAAGGAAGGAAGGAAGGAAGGAAGGAAGGAAGGAAGGAAGGAAGGAAGGAAGGAAGAAGGGAAAAAAGGAGGGAAGGAAAAGGAAGGAGGGTAAGAAGGAAGGAAGGAGGGGAGGGAGGGAGGAAGGAAGAAAGAAAAAGCCCAAACTATCTTTTGGTCAGGAAATAGTTATGGAACAAACACATTCACTTTTTACTCCAGCCCCAACCAGTATAACCAGAGGATTGCAGTAACTACTGCCATATTTTCGCTTGGGGCTTTTTAATGACAAAGCCATAACAATTCACCTGACAAGGGTGGAGACAAGCTGTACTGTTTTTTTCCACATTGTCATTTCAATGACTGGTTTCATCCTCACATTCTTATGACTTCCCCCACTCAGAATCCCAGCTGATTATGTAAACCTATCTCCTCACAGCAGACAGTAAATAAATTCCCAATGAGCCCATTTACTCTTGGCAAGAGAAAGGTGGTAGAGCAAAGTTTAAACATTTTTTTTTGCAAGTATAACCTATGTATCCACAAGTACTCCATGTGAGCATGGGGGAACTCCCTTTCACTAATACAAACTGCTTGGTAGATATTAAGTGTCAGAGAGGTGCTTGAGACATGTAGAAGCTGAACAACTTGTTTAGGGTCAGGTAAGTGTCTTGTCGGTGCCACAGGTGGGTTTGAAACCCAAGCTTTCCTGGACTCCAAACTTAACATTTAGTCCAATGTATGATGCCTCCTTTATATCTAGATTGGCCCAGAGTTAAATAGAACTGCAGAACTTTAAAATGAAAAGGGTCTTTAGAAATCATCTAGTCCTCCCCCACCTTCCCCCCTGCAAAATGAAGAGAATGAGACCCAGAGAGTTTAAATGACTAACCTGAAGTATCACAGAAAGTTGATGCATAGCCAACCACTAGAACTCTAGGGTTTGGGCTCCTTTTGTTCGATCCACAGTATTACTATGCTTCATAAGGTTCATATAGAGTATTCTACTCTTTGTGACACGATTTGGGGCTTTCTTGGCAGAGAGACTGGAGTGGTTTCCTATTCCTTCTCTAGCTCATTTGACAGATGAGGAAACTGAGGCAAAAAAGGTTAAGTGACTTGCCAAGGATCACACAGAGAGTAAGTATCTGAGGCCAGATTTGAACTCAGGGAGATGAGTCCTTCTGACTTCAGGCCCAGAGCTCTAACCATTGTGCGACCCAGCCACCTCCTATATGAACACATGTATGTATGTATGTATGTATGTGTATATATACATATATATATGCTTGCATATATATGTTTGTGTGTGTGTGTATATATATATGTATATATATGTATATATGTATATACTCACGTGCACATGTCTCTTTCCCCAAGAACCATCCCTAACAACTGAGAATGAGAACAAAAAGGAACAATTCAGCCAAAGCAGCCATCCTACCATCTTGTTTCTACATTGTATCATTATTATGACTCAAATTTAAGAGTGTTTTCCTCACAATAACCCTGTGAAGTGGTGCATGTATGTTTAGGGATCTGAAAATTACCATTGGGATGTATGTGCATTACTGAGTAGAGGCAGGGCAGATACACATCAGCATGACCATGCGTCCACAAACATTTGCCTGACCTGTGATTTTATTGGAGAGAGTGCTTTCTATACCACTATATATTAAAGTCCAGGGGAAAAGCAAAATGTCTGGGCGATATGACTATCAGCATCACATCCCTTCATCTCTACTAACCAATAACCAAATTAAACCAGCCACACCTTACCCTCACCCTCACTGACCACTGAAAAACAACTGAAAAACAATGTACATGTACATAATAATAAAAACATTAATAAAGGTGATGTGATGATGATGATAGCTAACATTTATATAGTATCTTCTACATGCCATGAATTGTCCTAGGCACTTTATAAACATTATCTTATTTGATCCCCACAAAAACCCTAGGAGGTAGGTGCTATGATTATCCCCATTTTATTAATGAGAGGTTAACTGACTTACCCAAAGTCACACAGCTAGTAAATATCTGAGGTTGGGCTTGAAAAACGTAAGTGATATAAAAACAAAATATACCAGTACTTTTTTTCCCCAAAGGAATGTAGTACTGACTTGGGTTAAAGAATGAAACTGGAGTTCTATCAGACAGCCTTGTCGTAGAATTCTCAATCAGAAACAGTAAAGTATTATAATTTACTTTATCTCTAACATTTCTCCCTCCAAACGTTCCAATTCTTCACCTCAAATCCAGGTGGATACTGTTTTCTGTTTGAAAAGCCTGGAGCTCATTTGATCTAGCCTTCCCATTCTCATGAAAGGACTGCTTAGATTCTTACTTCATATGTAGACTAGGGTGACAAACATAGCCCGACTCCAAAATATAATCGATATTCCATTTTTCTCTACCAAATCCTGGATCATATTACCATTTCTTTAGCTGATCATTTTATATCCCAGGGAATCACTGTGATTATTGTAATTGTAATAATAATTGTGTGAGTATAGCTTTACAGTAGAAAAACAACTGAAAAATGCGGTGAAGTAAACAACAATATAATTCCCACCAGAGGAACGAGGGCATACGAGAATTCTTGGATCCCGAAGATGTGGTGTTTCATCAGCAACTCATTGAACAAATGTCTCTTTTTCTTATGAACCAATTTAACTCACAATAGGCGTGTGTGGGGTGGAATGTTGTATAAAATGAAATTTGAAGGTCCAATATACAAAAGGCAGTATTGCGTTAAGCTAATTGTGTGTATGTATATGTATGTATGTATATATATGCATACACAGACACACACACATAACAAAATTTACCTATAAATATTACAAAGAGATAAGGTGAAAATAACTATATTAACAAAAACTTACCAATCTCACACCAGTCTCAAAGGCTTGCCGGGTTAGAGGAGCAGGTCCATCTACTGTCTTGCCATCATCATCTGGACCCCAACTAGCACTGTAGATGGCCACATATTGGGGATTGAAGCCGACAGACTTTGCTTCCACCATATCTGTTACATCTCCATCTAGCATTCGCACTCCTTTGATAGAAATACAAAAGTAAAAGTGAAAAACATGATGTATGCAAAGCTCCTAAGCATAAAATCATGAGGAAATGTTCAAGTGACTGGCTTTTTCTTTGGAAGAGGAAAAACAAATATCTCTCGATCTGCATGTAGCAGAGAAACCCTCATACATTTTGTTTTCCTTGGTTCTTTTTTGGTGACATTACCCAAGTTCATATTTTCCCATCAGAAATTCAGGCCTTAACACTACCACAGAATTTGGAAAGCTGTCATATCGCATGCTATCTCCAGCTAGAAGGCTGACATAATCTTAAAATATGACTTCCTTGTTGATTTATTTGCTAATAAAGTAATTAGTAAGAATGTTCTGTCTTCATGAAACACTTTCCTTTAAAGAATCTCAAAGGATTTGGCCAATATTCAGTCATTAATCTTCATTTCGGCATATCCCTCTTGAACAGGTGGGACTTGAAAAGTACATTTGAAAAGTACAAACCAAGACACAAAACATTTAGGGAATATGACATATACTAGAGTAAAATATATTTGCTTTAATTTCATTTTCATTAAAAGAACCATGTCTCATATCAACAAATATAACTCAGCCTTTTTTTCTCAATCAAATGATTGATATGTCCAAAATATTTAAATTGATAGTAGCCTTTCATGTAAAGATGTACCTTCAATAACAAATTTATAACTTTAGGACTCTAAAATATATGTTAGAAGGAGAAAAAGGTTTATATATATTCAAAAATATTCTAGATTAACTCCCTCAAAGGATTACATTCACCCAGTAGGATATAATTGAGTTTTGTCTCATAATAATAATAACAATAATACCTAGCATTCCTATACTGCTTTAAGGCTTACAAAGCATTTTTCAGCTGTTATCTCTTTTGATCCTCACATAAGCCTGGGAAGGTAGGTGTCATTATTATCCTCATTTTACAGATAAGGAAACTGAGGCAGATAGAGAATAAGTGATTTGCCTAGGGTCATACATCTAATAAGTGCCTGAGGCTGGATTTGAACTCAGGTGATCTTAACTGCAGGTCCAGCTCTCAATCCATTTCATCACCTCATTGATAAAATCCAAGCATAAATAAGTAACAGCAAGTATGTTCAGGCCCTCCATAACTTGGGTTCAAAATTCCTGTCCTAAATCTAATTACATAAATTACTTAAAAGAATCTGAGTCTTATGACGTATGGGTAGAGATGGAGAACAAGGGGTGTAGGCCATTAAAGCATAAATGATTTGGATGTCTTTGAAAGAGTTTTACATGCATGTATGTATAGCACCTATCAGGAAAATCACAAGGATAATAGGTCATATTTAAGAGTATGATCCTCACAACAACCTTAAGAAACAAGTCAATTTTTAATCTTTTTTTTTTTTAAGGATAAGGACATGGTGGTTAAAGATAAGCTCACAGACCAAAGGATCATAGAAATGGAGTGGGAAGGGGCCTGAGTAATCATCTAGTCCAATTCCCGTATTTTACCTATTGGGAAATTAAGAGGCTAACTAAGGAAAATGATTCACAGAGATATTAAGTAACTTACCCAAGGTCATACAGTATCAATTGGCCAAACCTGAATTGAAATCAAGGTTGTTTGACTGCAAACCTAGACTCCTTTCTACTACACCAGGCTGCCTCTCAATCGTATATCTAACAAATGGCAGAGGCAACATCAGGAACCCAAAACAAGCCTCCCGACTCCAGTGTTCTTTCCACTACACAGTACTGGTATTTAACTTCTAAAATAATGCTCCACATGTAATACAGAATAGATATTTGCTGATTTAAATATTCAAAATCTGTCACTGTCACAGAAAAAGGCAGACTATAATTCAACCACTATCTGTATAGATAACACAGTTCCCAGTCTCATCAAGGGGCCCTTTTAAATGTCAAGAAATGTCTTAGAGCCTCACTTGGTAGCAGTTACACTATAAGTATCTACTGGTTGATAAAATACCTAATGATAAAAAGAACTTATAAATTCAGTAATGCTTTTAAACTAAATTGCATCTACATATTTTTAAAAATGATAATATATATTAATTATTCAGCCTATAGAAGAAATCAATTAAGCATTTAATAAGTACCTACTCTGTGTCACCTAGGTGGCAGCTAGCTGCTACAGCAGATATAGTGCCGGCCCTGGGGTCAGGAAAACCTGAGTTCAAATCCGGCCTCAGACACTTATTAGATGTCACTTAACCCCATTTGTCTCAATTTCCTCATCTGTAAAATGAGCTGGAAAAGGAAATGGCAAACCACTCCAGGGTCTTTGCCAAGAAACCCCAAATGGGGTCACAAAGAATTGGACATGACTAAAAATTACTAAAGAACAAGCTCTGTGTCAGGTACTGTGCTCAGCACCCCAGGGGATTCAAAAATAAAATAGTCTCTGCCTTTAAGGATCTTACATTCTAACCAAGGTATATTTGCTTATTTATAGTTCCACATATGGATTTACAAACCTCTCATAATATTGAGTTGGGAGTCATTGCTGTAAATTTATAATATGACCACTAAACAGTCTAAAATGTCTGTTTTACCAGGTAGCTACTCAGAAAAATATCTAATCAAACATGGCAGTCCAAGATCTTATGTGATCTTAGACTGTATTAATAGCAACATAGTGCCCAGAGCAAAAGAGTTCTAGCCCTGCTGTTTTCTGCTCTAGTCAGACCATATCTGATCAGACCACATGTATTCATTTCTAGATATCAGACATTTAGAAGGCCAATGTCAAGCTATAAGTTTAGGAGGATGGGTGAAATCATTCCATACAAAGATTAGCTGAAGGAACTGGGATTCACTTTTCTTCTTGTTGACTTTTAAAAATCACTATATTTTTACATTACCTTCTTTTTTAAATATAATGATACCACTTATATAGCAAAGCATTTTACAAATATTATTGTATTTATCCTTACAGCTGAGGAGGTAGGTGCTATCATTTTTCCCATTTACAAAATGGGGAAATTGAGGCAGGCAGACATTAAGTGACTTGCCCAGGATCTCAAAGCTAGTAAGGGTCTAAGGCTGGATGTAAACTCAGTTCTTCCTGACTGTGGGGCCGATGCTCTACCCACTATGCCACCTCGCTGCCTCTATCCTTACCCCTACCTAGCCAGTCACCTTTTGTAACAAATAATTTTTTTAAAAGAAAGAAAAACCAAGCACACCAGCCAAGGCTGATGGCATATCTAATGTTCCAAACCCAGAGCAGAAATGGGTATGCTTAGCTTAGAGAAGTTGGGGATGAAGTGAGATCCTACAGTGGTCTTCAAGAATCTGGGATAAAGAGATATCATCTGAAAGAGGGAGAGACTTGTTTAATTAAGCTCAATAGGACAGAATGATAACGAGTCAAGGTTCCTGAGGATCTTCCTTACATTAGACTTCAAACAGACTTCATCAAAACAAGAATGGGCTGTCTCAGAGGCAGTGATTTCTCCATTACTGCAGATCTTCAAGAGAAGGCTACATGGCCACTCGTCAGAAATATTATAAAAAGCAGTATACCTTCTTAACTATGGATTACAATGGAGGACATCTAAAGTTGTTTCTAATTCTGAGATCCTATGATTCTATAATCCCAGAATTGGTGGGCTAAGCCACTGGTAAGTTAGCAAATGTTTACCACCAGCGATCCTTCAAAAATGTATACAAGACATACTTTTAAGTTTCATTCACATTATTAACATTTTCTCAGGTCAATCAACAACACAATAAATCATTAATTAATTAATTAATTAATTAATTATTGATTTGAAATAATCATGTGTTCTTTAAAAAAAGTAGTGTAGTGTTTGCTGGTGTAAATGCTCATACTGAAAATTTGACAATTGGCTGCTCCTAGTAAGGGATAGGAAAAGGAAGTATACTAAGGCCAAGATGAAAGAATGTTAAGTTCAGAGGGCAAACATGCCTGTTTAGTCCAGAAAGCTAAGAAAACTATATTGACACTCAGGTTGGCTTGTACCACAGTGAGGAAAAGGGAGAATGTGTTTCTCAATAGAGAGAGTCACTTAGATATCTGGTCAAAGGAAGAACCCACAAGGTGGTAGGGGAAGACCACTCCAGAGATCAGATTCAAGGAATCTAGACCCCCCAAAGGAGGAAGCAGGTCAAGTGAGACCATCTAAGTGTCAAGTCAACAGCAAGGAAGAATTAAGACCATCAGTTGAACTGAGAATGAAACTAGAGTAATATGGAGCTACACCTGCCCTGTGTCATCTTCTTGGCAACAGAGAATGGGACTCATTAGCAGACTCATCAACTGGGCTTGCAGAGGCCCACATGAATTGCAGTAAATTATAGCTAATATGAGGCCTCTGGGAGGGAGGGAGGAAAGACCCTTAGGGACAGTCAAGAGAGTTGCGATATCTGTATCACAAGAAGGGCAAGGAAGAGAGAAAGTATTTACAAAAAGCATATACCAAGGTTTGCATTCCTGGTGGTATAGGACTCAAGCAGCTTCACTCTTCTCACCCACAACATGGGGAGTCTTTAACTAAAAGAAGACAAAGCTGGCCCAGGAGCTCATTGGCCTACATGATTGGCCTCGGAATCCCTGACTTTAGCTTTGTCTTTTTTTTTTTAAATAAAACCTGGACAGTAAATCTGTTTCCTCCATAGCTAATGGAAAGGATATGTTGGTTCAATATACTTTTCAGATAAGATCCAGGTTCCTCTATAAGTGGATAGAGGGAAGGGTCAGGATGCTAACACCTAGAGTATCTACTGAATAGTTGAACTTAGTTTCTATGTTACTGAATCCATATATGGGCCTTAAGGCTTAGTTTTTATTGCCTGTAGGATGGAGGGGTGGTATAGCATATATACACACATATATACATTATATATTTATACATAAATATATGTGTATATACACATATAGATATAGGCAGGCAATTTATGAATTCTCACAGGTTGATCTTGGAAAATAGAATGACCCTTGATCTTAAACAATATAAAAATGAAAAAATTAATT